GTGGATCTTCATGCCTCTTCATGCTGTGGTCTGTGGATCCTTTCCTTGTGGGTCTTCATGTGGTTGTGGGATCGGGATCCTGCCTCCTTGGCCTGTGGGTCTTTCTGTGGGTCTGCTGTTTCCTGCTGGGTCCTGTGGGTCTGTGTGGTCCTGTGGGATCCTGTGTGGATGCTGTGGATCCTGTGGTCTGGTTCTGGGTCTGCCTCCTGTGGATCTGTGGGTCTGTGTGCCTGTGTGGATCGGGATCCTGTGTCCTTCCTGTCCTGGATCCTGGGTCCTGTGGATCTGTGGGTCCTGTGGTTGTGCCTGGCTGGATGCTGTGGATCTGGCCTGTGGATCGTGCCTGTGGATCTGTGTGGGTCCTCTGGTCGGGTCCTTCCTGTGTGGATCTGCCTGGATCTCCTGGTCGGATCCTGACTCCATGATGGATCACTGCTACAGCCATACAATGGGATCACTGCTGTGATGGATCACTGTTCATGGGATCTTCTACAATGGATGCTGCTGTCTGACACCTGGTCTGGGATGCTGCTACCTGACATCATGCACAATGGATGTGGGATCACTGTCCTGGCCCACAATGTCACTGTGATGGATCACTGGACATCATGCACTGATGGATCAGCTCCACACAATTGTCATGGATCACTGTCATGCATGGATCTCTTCCCATGCAATGGATCTTTCTTTCTGGCTATTACAATGTCTCCACAGTGATCATGCCTGATGGATGCACTTTCTGACATGGATACTCGCCTTCACAATGCACACAATGGATCTGCTTCACAATGCTGCACAATGGATCTGCTGCACAATGGATCACTAAGCTTCACAAACCCCATGCACTGTGGATGCTGCTGGGATGACATCATACACACAGCTAGATCTGCCATGGACAAACCTCATGCAAAAGAGATCACTGCTACCTGACATCATGCCTGACAGAGTCTGCTGCACAATTATCCTGCCACATTGGATACTGCTACCTGACACCATACACAATGGGATGCTGACTTGTCATTTGTGGATCTTCTGACCCCATGCACAATGGATCAATGCTACAATGGATCACTGCTACCTGTGCCTAGGATGCTGCTGAAGCATCATGCCTGATGGATGCTGCCACCGTCATCACACAATAGATAATGCTGCTGCCTGACATCATTATACAATGGATACTGCTCCATCATGCACAATGGATGCTGCTACACAACTGCCTGTGGATGCTGCTGCCTGACATCGTACACAAATGGATGCTGTGACATCATGCCTGTGGATACTGCTGCAGAATCATATGTAATGGATACTGCTTCATGCATCAAGGATGCTGTTGCGGCAATCGTGATGGTTCTGCTGCTAATAACTACCATGCACACTGGATACTGCTTCCTTCATGCCACCAATGGATGCTGCTGGACAAGCCATGCCTTGAAAACGGATGCTGTGCAGGCACCATGGACAAAGGATGCTGCTACACAGCTTACCATGCACAATGGGTGCTGCCTCCTGACGTCCCTGGCTCATGGGGCTAGCCATTGCCTGATGCAAAATTATCCTTGGCACCATGGTAAGACTCCAGACGATGGAATCATATGCTTTGTATTTGTGGGATATTTGATTTGTGTAATAGGGTCAGAGAATTGAAACCTAGCGTATCACATGACACGTTTGGAGAGGGAGATCCATGTTTACCTGCACTGTTGAAGTAGCGTTTGGGCTGCTAGATCTGAGGAAGTTTTGTCCATAGAAAAGAACTGGGTGTCCACATCGCCCGCTGTGCCAAGTCACATAGTCCATTGTCTTGTACAGCATGAATAAAACAGGTGGCATTCTGGGGCACGATGGGCAGTCATGACCCCAATAGGTTGGCTGACATTTGCATACACCTGCAAAATACGCATGGAACATGCAAAGCTCAAATTAAATGGGGTAAAACTTTGGCACAAAACCGGGAGCTTGTCGGATTGACGAGACTTGAGGCATGCATTAAAAGAAGCTCCTGCAAACACATATTAGGATATGTTTTCAGTCTTAACAAAGTATGTTTGCAAAATTTATAAAAGGATTAGATATCAGTAGATATCAGCGGATCTAATTGGCCACTGCAATAGTATTTCCTGAGCTTAAGCTGAATATGGATTACAAATCTATAGAAGACACCCTCATGACTTCCTGTATACACACTAATTACTTACCATCAACACACAAAGCCCCGGCTGGTACAGTTGCTGGGACAGACCGAGGAGGATGATCCCTCTGTTGATGACATAGACACCGCGACCAGTTGCGGATATCTTATGTTTATCTGTATCTCAAACGGGCAGTGATCAAACTGGAAGCTGTCCGGGAACGGACTCTCAGACGCCTGGACCATCAGAGCGGCTGTGCAAAAGAAGCAAGCAAAGAGAGTAAAGTAAGTTGTATTGTGATTTATTTGAAAACTTGGTATTGACAAAGAGTTATGCAAAGTAGCATTTTGGCAAGGGACTGGACGTAAATTACCAGAGTCTTGCGACTGCGATTATGTAATACACATGAGCTACACTTAATTACGTGGCTAGGGGCCGTGGGCGCTGTTCTCCTCACTTGCTGAGATTCACGGCGGTTGGTATATAATGGATAGAATTGTAGGATAAGTACTAAAAAAGGTAGAAGAGTGTGTGAAAATAGGAAGACAAAACAGAGGAGAAGGAAGAAGAAATGGCAAAGAGGAAGAAGAAATGTACGGAATGTCACACAATTTAGTTTGTGCAAAGTTAAAAAAGTAATGAAAGTCATTTTTTAAAGGCCAACAGGTTTTTCAAACAGAACCTTACTTGACAGTGAATGTAAGAAATAATGTTACATTGCTTATGTTGTAGCTTCATTCTCTCATCGGCTACAAATTTATTGTTTACATGATAACTTTTGAAGAGATTTAAATATATATATATATATATATATATCCTCTGAGAATTGGCCAAACATCCACTTTTACAACATTATCTAAAGTGGTCAGATACATGTAGAACATGCAATATATGTTTATCCTGATATCAACTGTAGTATACATGAACAGCTAAAGGAAATGAGGACAAAATCTGTGAAGGTTATTACATTAACATTAGAACCACACTGTATCCAAAGTCTCATTCTCACTGAATGCTGTCAACACACCCCAAGTGATGAGATCAGAGCTGCAGGTAACACCAGCACTGAGGCCTGGCTATTGTGGATGCCACACCACGAATATACGTCTCACAGTAATGCTGTCTCCAGTTTGCCCGGCTGTCCTGGTGGGCGGTGCAATATCTGTGGGAATGGTGGGCAGTTCGGTGTACTTAAGAATTGATGAATAGTGATACATGCAAAGAGTAAAACTATGCTTAATGTATTTGTGAGGATAGACATAGACGTACATGGTGTTAAATCCCAATGTAGGGAAGTGGCCTGTGAGTAAGCAGTTAGGCTGTACTGGAACCTCACAACCTCTGATCCTTGGCAAATGCTTGGTGCCTGGAGTCAGCTGTCTTATTCACCATTTGCGGTGGTGATGTCATGCCTGGTACAAATGCACCAAAATTAGTTTCAACACACAGAGATATTTACGAGTATTCACACAAGTGAAGTCAAAACCTGCATTATAACACAATAGATACTGCCTCACAACACCATACACAATAGATACTGCCTCACAACACCATACACAATAGATACTGCCTCACAACACCATACACAATAGATACTGCCTCACAACACCATACACAATAGATACTGCTCACAACACCATACACCTACACAACACCATACACAATAGATACTGCTGCAACACATACACACCATACACAATAGATACTGCCTCACAACACCATACACAATAGATACTGCCACACACCATACACAATAGATACTGCTACACAACACCATACACAATAGATACTGCTACACAACACCATACACAATAGATACTGCCTCACAACACCATACACAATAGATACTGCTCACAACACCATACACAATAGATGCCTGCACAACACCATACACAATAGATACTGCCTCACAACACCATACACAATAGATACTGCTACACAACACCATACACAATAGATACTGCTACACAACACCATACACAATAGATACTGCTACACAACACCATACACAATAGATACTGCTACACAACACCATACACAATAGATACTGCTACACAACACCATACACAATAGATACTGCTACACACCACCATACACAATAGATACTGCCTCACAGCACCATACACAATATATACTGCCTCACAACACCATACACAATAGGTACTACTACACAACATCATACACAATAGGTACTGCTACACAACACCATACACAATAGGTACTGCTACACAACACCATACACAATAGGGTACTGCTACACAACTGCTACACCATACACAATAGATACTGCCTACACAACACCATACACAATACACTCATACACTACACACACACCATACACAATAGGTACTGCTACACAACACCATACACAATAGGTACTGCTACACAACACCATACACAATAGGTACTACTACACAACATCATACACAATAGGTACTGCTACACAACACCATACACAATAGATACTGCCTCACAACACCATACACAATAGATACTGCTACACAACACCATACACAATAGGTACTGCTACACAACACCATACACAATAGGTACTGCTACACAACACCATACACAATAGGTACTACTACACAACATCATACACAATAGGTACTGCTACACAACACCATACACAATAGGTACTGCTACACAACACCATACACAATAGGTACTGCTACACAACATCCCACAGCTCCTTAAACATAACCATTACTGATACAAAGTATCATAGCACCATGGTAGAAAAGCTCCAGATGATGGAATCATATGCTTTGTATTTATTCGGGATATTTGATTTGTGTAATAGGAATAATCAGAGAATTGAAACCTGGCAATATCACATGACACATTTGGAGAGAGGAGATCCATATTTACCTGCACACTGTTGAAGTAGCATTTAAGGCTGCTAGATCTGAGGAAGTTTTGTCCATAGAAAAAGAACTGGTGTCCACATCGCCCTTGTGCCAAGTCACATAGTCCATTGTCTTGTACAGCAGACAAAACAGGTGGCATTCTGAGGGCGATGGAGCAGTCATGACCCCCATAGGTTGGCTGACATTTACATACACCTGCAAAATACACATGGAGAACATGCAAAACTCAAATTAAAAAGGTAAAACTTTAACATAAACTTTCCAGAACTTATCCAGATTGACAACAGGAACTTGAGCATACATTAAAACTCCACTAAACACATATTAGGATATGTTTCATCTGCAAAGAGTATGTTTGCAAAATTTATAAAAGGATTAGATATCAGTAGATATCAGCAGGTCTAGTTGTACTGCAATAGTATTTCTGAGCTTCGCTGAATATGGATTACAAATCTATGAAGACACCCTCATGACTTCCTGTATACACTAATTACTTACCATCAACACACAAGCCCCGGCTGTTACAGTTGCTGGGACAGACTGAGGAGATGATCTCTCTGTTGATGACATAGACACCACTGACCAGTTGCCAGTATCTTGTGTTTATCTGTATCTCAAACAGGCAGTCAAACACTAGGCTGTCCAGGAACAGACTCTCAAACACTGGACCATCAAACAGCTGTCACAAAAAGCAAACAAGAGAGTAAGTAAGTTGTAATGTGATTGTTGAAAACTTATATTGACAAAGAGTTATGCCAAAGTACCTTAGCTTACCTTTTTTCCTTTTTTTAAAGGTTTTTGGGGGTTTTTTTTGGCAAACATTTATTACAGAAGTCTTTGCCGACACGGTGTAATACACATGGCCCCTACATAACCCACGTGGCTAGGGGCCGTCAGGCTTGTTCTCACTGAGATTTGCGGCAGTTAACTTTGTATACATGTATAACAAATTAAAGCAATTGTAGGATAAGTACTAAAGGTAGAAGAGTGTGAAAATAGGAAGACAAAAACAGAGGAGAAAGGAAAGAAGAAATGGCAAAGAAGGGAAGAAGAAATGGCACGAAATGTCACTTTAATTTAGTTTGTGCAAAAGTTAAAATGTAATGAAAGTCATTTTTTAAAAATAAACAGGTTTTCAAACAAGTTTCTTACTTGACAATGATGAATGTAAGAAATAATATTACATAACATATTTGCTATTTCATTCTCTCATCATTACAAATTTGTGTTTACATGATAACTTTTGAAGAGATTTAAATATATATATATATATATATATATATATCCTCTGAGAAATTGGCCAAACATCCACTTTTACAACATTATCTAAAGTGGTCAGATACATGTAGAACATACAATATATATGTTTATCCTGATATCAACTGTAGTATACATAGACAGCTAAGGAAATGAGGACAAAATCTGTAGAAGGTGTACATTAACCTTAGAACCACACTGTATCCAAAGTCTCATTCTCACCTGAATGCTGTCAACACACCCCAGAATGATGAGATCAAACTGCAGAGTAACACCAGCACTGAGGCACAGCTGTGTGGATGCCACACCACGAATATACGTCTCACAATGTCTCCGTGCTGTCTCCAGTTGCCAGCCACCTACAGTCGGCCATGTCAATATCTGTGGGAATGGTGAAGCAATTCATATTACTTATTAAGAATTGATGAATAATGCATCCTACTGGTAAACTTCTATACTTAAATGTATTTGATGAACATAACATTACACATGGAAGTAAACCCATCCAATGTAGGGAAGTGTACCTGTGAAATGGCAGTTGAGCTGTACTGGAACCTCACAACCTCTGATCCTTGGCAAATGGCAGGCCTGGAGTCAGCTGTCTTATTCACCATTTGAGCGGTGATGTCCTTACCTGGTACAAATACCAAGTTAGTTTCAACACACAGAGATATTTACAGCATTCACACAAGTGAAGTCAAAACACACGTATATGATAGGACATGGTTTAATTGTATGTCACTTAATTGTGTTCATGTGAAGCGTACACAGGATACAGAATTTCCATTGGATTGGTTGATTGGTTGGTTGGTTTGTTGTTTAACGCTGCACTCAGCAATAATCCAGCTATATGGTGGTAGTCTGTAAATATTCGAATCTGAGTGAGTGAGTGAGTGAGTTTAACACCGCACTCAGCAATATTGAAGCTATATGGCGACGGTCTGTAAATAATCGAATCTGGACCAGACAATCCAGTGATCAACAGCATGAGCATCGATCTGCACAATTGGGAACTGATGACATATGTCAACCAAGTCAGCGAGCCTGACCACCCAATCCCTTAGTCGCCTCTTACTCCATTGAAGAGAGATCAGTAACATGACCATATAACTGATGATCATAGGTGTATGAACGACACATTTTGAAGTTCACACATTTACTAGATTTTGAGATTATAGACTTAAACTGAGGTAAATACCGGAATGATGACTACATAGAGAAATGCTAATGCTAAAACAGTTCAGTCCTCGCTCTATGAAGATATATTCTCCAGTGGACTCTCATACAGTGAAAGTGTTTTGTTCGATGGACATTGAGTGTTGCTCACTAAGCATAAGTATAAAACAGTTACCTTTTTTCAGTGCTGTGAATTCCTCCACACAAGTAAACACATGGGCCTCCTGACCACAGACAGAGATGTTCCCACACACACAGTTGGCGCTGCTTGGCATGGGGAGGGGTGACTCGCACACACCATTATACAGGGATTCATCTGCAGGCACTCTGTTGTACACCAGAGAAACAATCTCACATAGATAAAAACATAACCTCCCACATCATCTAAAGACTAAGGTCAAAACAAGGTCAAATAAAATGTTATTTGTGTGAAACACAACATTCAGTTTTGCCACCATACTGCCAGGGTCCATAATATGCATAACATTTGCAAAACCTCAACATATGAGTGTGGTATTAACACATGGTTTACAACAAAGCAGTAAAAGTAATTTACAATTCTTTTATGAACACTAAGTAATTTTAACGCACAAAACAGATTTTCATTAAGTAGGTGTCATTGGGGATCAGGCTTATTCCCCCCAACCAACAAACATTGTCAGTTGTTAGGCAGGCACATAGCATAAGAAAACTTCACTTCCCTCTTTTCACAAGATAAAGATACGTCATAGACGTGGGGAGGACTACTTCCTTATGAATAAATTATTTAAAGGTTGTACTTCAAGAAGTGTACATAACAATAACCCATTTTCAAATCCACCTGTGAAACTATATAGATAGATATAGATATTTCAATGAATATACATACATATTTTCCTTCTCAACCTCAACTTATTCATTTCAATGATTCAGTTCTACAGAGGACAGTGAAAAAGCATTATCTGATACTAATGATGCCCTGGATGAATAACACGGCATCTGTTATGTAACAAATGTGGTAGTGTCTTATTTTACATTTTATTTATTTATTTGTGTAAATACGGTATCATTTTTAAACAGTTTGGTTGTGGTAGTTTTATTGGATTAGGTTTTTATTAGAGTATGTTTGGTATTTGTCTCCAGCTTGATTACCCCAAGCTGGACCATAATACTGACAGTGTAATCGGAAGGATTGGGCGATTGTGTTTACTCTTGTTCAACCGACCTTCACCTCAAAGAAATTGCCTAATATGTAGAACAATGTTGACGTATGACATCACCACCGCTGACCGAATTCTTACAAAATGGCGGCTTTGCTGACAAGGGTACTAAGGATTTGGCAAGGACCCTTCGATTGATTCAGGGATCGTTTGTACATAAATATGAGATGTAAGTAATCAGAATTATTCTGACTATCTGTGTATTGTTATATGTTTTTATCGTTTTCACTATAAGTAAGAGAAAAAGCCAGAAATGCAGATAATTACCGTTGTCGTTCTGCGTGATTTTGCGTCAGTCATGTCGTCACGCTTCACGGAAACTTTGACAATTTCTTATGAATTATCAAATCATTGCATTGTATCTATTTATAATTTCCTATTGCTTGCTACGATACTCTTTCCATGCATATTCCAAAGATATTGAGCCATTTCAAGCAATGAATAGACGGATGAAAGTTGAAAAATTTCAGAAACTGCTATGCAGTGTAAACTCGGAATTTGACAAGCGCAGTCATTTAAGCACAGCATTCGTTTTCACACCCAATATGTTTTGTCTCATTTTATCTGGACAGTTGGTATTGGTGACACAGAACAGTTGCAATTTGATTCTAAAATGTATGGGGAGTTCAGTGATGCATTTTTCGAAGCTGAATATGAAATATACATGATGTAATAGGCGTCTCAATACCGGCCTTCGCGAAACGTGATATTGTAAACACTATCCAATATGGCGGAAAGCGCTCTACGGCGTTCGTGAAAGTGCATTTTCGAAAACATCCCAACCGATTCTAGATTCATCGGCAATGTTTCAGAATTATAATTAGCGATTTCATGTAAAACTGATATCAGTGATCATGAATGTTATTTTTGAAATTCAATACTCCCAGTAATTATCCGATTTTCACATTTCAAAACATACAGCAAATAATGCTGTGAATCGCGATTTCGTACTGTGTCAAAAATGGCGACATTTTCGATGAAGCCTATTTTGAAAGGTCATTTTCAGCACTTGAGCTTTGTCTAAAATAATAGTGGATGGTATCAAGAAACAGGAAATTTCCTGCAGAATTCGAAACTGTGAAGTGTATTTGTGTGCGTGGGATATTTTGATTTTTATTGGACTTGAAATTGAGGGTTGAAGGGGAAGGACATATATGTCCCTTTGGCATCCAGGGGGTTAACACAATTGCCTGACAAATGGCTTTAAACAGAATGTTAATTTTCACAGTCTGACTTATTCTTCTTGGACAAATTCAGGAATTTGTTTGTGGGAACCAAGAATGTGAAGTCTAATCAACTTGACTGGACCAGTGTTTCCAAAAAAGATGATGTCCAAACATGCTCTTGTAGCCTGTGATGAGGTTGGACACTGGACAAGTTGGCAAGATTAGCTTTTATGCAGGTTTCTTAAATATGAACTCGTATTAAGATGACATACCTCCAGGTTTGAATAAAGTCATTTGGATACTTCATGTATGTCTTCACTTGACCATCACTGGAGGTCAGATCGTTGTCTTTGTCCCCGTCAAATGTACCACACAATCCTATAAGTAAACAAAACTACTGAAAGTGCACAGGCAATACAAACATTACATTTGCCAAACAAGACTTGGATGTACATATTTAGCTGAGGATTGTCCTTGCTAAACCAACCTTCTGTCTCCTGCACATCAGCAGCTGAAGACTGGACCCATACACTGAGATACTTGTCCTCAGGTCTGTCTCCAAGCGTGATGCTCACCCGGGTCCCTGCTGGCAGCAGGACCTAAAATATAGGACAATGTCTCAAAACTTTCAGAAAATGATGCTTCATTTTAAGGAAAACAAATCATCTAATTAAAATGACATAAGACAACACCTTCATCCAGTGCAAAATACAACAGAAAATAACACATTCTTCTTATTAAAATGACACTTGTGGACAACACTTTCATCTAGTTGAAATCTTGGGTGAGATGTTTGCTCACAGTTTATAATTAATAATGTCTCTGGCCTTGTCACTCATTTTAGTGACATCTGCATGTACTTGATCCAGACTAGTGACAAGTCCAGTGATCACAATCATCAATAATGCTTCTGTTGTCCAGAAGGTTTTCTGGGCCTACCTTTAGAATACAGCACAACAAACTTTAAAAATACATCATAATACCCTTTTACGTAATGTAATAAATTTGCACATTGTGCAACAGTGTGGACGTAGCTCAGTCGGTTAGCTGTCAAGCTCACAATCCGAAGGTCGCGGGTTCGCGTCCAACGGGTTCTCACAAATTGGTAGCTTGTCTTAATGACACGTGACCTACGGCAGAGAACAGATCGTCCTCACGAGAAGTTGTGGTGCTGTATTCTAAAGGTGCTCCGTTTTCTGTAATAATATTAAATGACATTTCCAGTGAGCCAACAAAGGCCCTCAATCTACCAAGTCCTTTGTTTACTTACAACATATTCCTTTCCATCATTGACCTCAAGTAGTGAGGTCCCCTTGGCAAGGTCACCATTCAATAACATCTCTGTTCTGATTGGCATGTCGGTATGGTCACCACATCTCTCTATGATGAAAACATCATCATCCACCAGCACTGCTGCCCCCGCACACACACGGAACCTGACCTCTGCATGCGGTAGTAAAGATGTTCACCTACAAACACACAAAGCGCACACAAATGGTTTCTTTCACTACAAAAAACAATGATATAAGAAAAATGCAAACTTATTTCTTGATACAAGTAGTCAAAATTGTCAATAATTAATTTAAATTTGTGACATCATTCCATTGTCTGCTAACTCCATTATTTTTCAGGAATGGAGTGATGTGTAGCAGTTTCAAATGTAAGACTTTGATCGTTCATGTCATTTTGACATTTAATTTTGATAACAGAAATATTACCAATACTTTGAATGTAATTTAAGTAGGGTAATAGCCTCATTAATCTCCATTCCTTCAAAATAATGGGCCTCATCCTCTCCATTATTTTGAAGGAATGGAGAGTTTCAAGCACATTACCTTCTACATAATGATAATTATTAGCCATGCATGTGTAGTACATGGTTAGCATAAAGCCTACAATAGGCTTCTCCACTGTAGACTAATGCCTCATTTCTAGAAAACACCAGGAGATCTAATCATGTTGATTGTCATTCACATGCTCACATGCACTCACACACACACATTGTGCAACTTACAGCCATTGGCAGTGTTTTGTGTCTGTACAGGACAAACTCTCCATATTGAAGCAGGTTGTAGTAGCTGAAACACAGATACTATTTCATCAGGGAGTCTACACTAGATTTCCACTAAATACTGTCAGATGGGAGATGTGTGATCTGGACATGGTTCCTTTTATATGCTTCAGAAAGATTGGTAGTTAGTCAGTTGTGTGATTGACATAAATCCTGTGATCATAATTCAAAACCATGTAATTTTGTTGGCATTTGCAATACATGCTTTAAAGATCTAGATACACATGTTTCCCTTGTGCAACGTTATCCATATGAGTACTGTCTAATGTGGGAGTTGGGATGAGGTATCTCCTGAATATCACAAATTCTGTTGACAGTAGTTGATACATGTTCTTGAATAGTGTCACAGATATAGCTTCTTTCATATGTACAACAAACAAACTTCAAGACTGATCACAGTGCTATCAGTGATATAACCATGATCCTCACTTCCCTATAAACACCCTGCCATCAAGTTTTACTTTTTAAGATTTCTGCACTGCCATGTTGAAAGTTACTGGTGACTCTGATGACTCTTATTATCAATCTAGGATCCATCACAGAAACTACATACACATTGTCAAAAGTTGTGATGTGTGGAACATTGATGGCTTTACATGTGGAGCTGCGATCTCGGTCCTTGATAGTCAACTGTAAATGTAAACAGAAATTCCTCTTACAAAATGTTTTGCACTTAAATTGTAAAAGTAAATTGTAAATTGTACAATTATAGGGTCTGAGAACAATCATAAAATGTGGCTAAAAATAAAATAAGCTGCAGTCAGCATCTGTAAAACAGTATTCTTAATACATGTAATTGGAACACCAAAAATTAAATTGGAAACAAGTGACTAAATACCAACATGTTTTCTTAAACTGAAACAATAAATAATGTGAATAATACTTTCTGCCATTTTATTTCCTTAAAAAATGAATACTTCAAATTTATGCCTTTCCCTCATGTTTTCACTCCTACAGTGAAAACATTTGAAATGAGGAAAAATATTCTAAGTGGAATTATTTTTCAAATTAAGTACAACAATAACTTGCATAGTGGAACAAATCTTCCCAATTCCCTCAATGATGGCCTTGACCTTAACATTTAATAGGCTAGTCCCCGACATTCCTTGATATGGTCAGAGTGCACAGATAAAGTGTGTCAGTATTCAAGCTGAGACCAATTACAAACATTCTATCCCATTTAAAACAAGGAAAAGTAATGCCCATATGTCTGCCACATATAGGTGTCATTAGTCATGGAGCAAGAATGCAGGGTTTGGCTTAAACTGAATCACAGTCTCTGGAACTCCTACATGCATGTTACCTACCTTCACTGTGTTGAGAGTTATGGAGGTGTTCATTTCTCCTGCCATGTCCAGTGAGATCTGGAGGTCTCGATACTGATCACCATCAATCAGACTGTCTGTTGTTGCCCTCACATACAGTGACTGTTCGGTATGCCAGTTGTCCATGTTAAGCACTAGGCCACACATGGCCCTGGTATCATCTGGTTGACCAAGCCAGCTGACCACAGCTTGTGGCACTGTGACCCCTGACCCTGGACAGGTCACAGTATTGGCACCAGGTTCTGGTATGTGTGCACTGATGGTAAAGGAGCAGTTTGTGTAGTTATCAGAGGCTGGACAGAAGATGACAGGAGGAAAGGTGGACTGGAGAAGTACAGCCTTGGCCCCTTCACCTTCCTCTAAAGTCAATGTTTTCTTGCTGGTGATCTGAATGAAAAGATGTGTACACACCCGGTTATTCAAGTGAGTTCTATATTGCATAAACAAGATTAGAACAGTAAAGACTGTTGCAGAACAGCTAACACTAATGTTATTATGAACCTAAGACTGACATCTGTTCCGTGGAATAAAGGTTCCTGGTTTGAAAACATATGTCTGCAAAATCTATATACAATCCAAGCAGAAACCATTCCTTACAGGCCTGGATCATCAGTTACGTCATACTCCTGTTTAGTTTAGTTTCTTGGGCCAGTCAAACAGACTGTAGGAACATGATTTGCAATGAGTAGTCAGATCTCATAGCATGACACCTTCATACAGAAATAAATGTGTGGCCTCTAGGACAATAGTCCCGGTTACCAATACTCATAGACCGTTCACTGTATTGAACAAACACTAATTATAGCAGTTTTGTCAGGGTAGATTTGTGGCAGGCATTTACAAAAACAACAATACAAAAGTCTCATATCCTAAATATAGTTTTATCTTTTGAAAATCTAGAAGCTAGTAGTGATTTAACCCCAAAATGTATATATACTGAGTCAAAAAAGAAACTTCACATTCTTTCTTCAGGGCACTATAAAAGAACAAGAGATGGTAAGATGGTTAAATTGTTATTATTTCATTGCTGAGATCTGTGTGATGTACTCGATACACTGACAGTGCCATAATCAGTTCCATTAGGCTACATCGCCGTTCCAAAACATGGGTATACAGAATGTCAAGTCACAATATGGACGTCGAGAATGGAGATTGGCAGCCCGCAACCGATTTCGAATGGTCTGTGAGGACAGTTGACCTCTAAACATCTCAACCCTGGTTCGTGTAGCCGGCAGAAATCTGTCACGTAGGTGACGTAGGACGATTTGACGGTCTTCTGCTCGTGACGTCACACGTGGACGACCCGACCTTGGGCGATCAGAAGTGGTGCCAGTTTGTTGCAGACGACCCCGCAAGTCATACACAGTACGACGGCTGCATCCCATTGCTCTTGCGGCGTCAATAACTGATCTTCCCGCTTGCAACATGCCAACGCACGTTCGTTGCACATTTGACAATCGTGGCATTTCAAGTACCGTTAGAACTGTGGTTTAAAAGTGTTTTTTTAATTCTTGAGGCCAATGCAAACACGTGCATATGAAGAAAACTTCGATGCGAAAATCACGTGATCGACTGCACGGGCAAAACCTGATTTGGCAGTAACGTCATTTGCACGAGGAATGGATGGGTTTGAGTGGGTTTTGCTAACGTTTTTCTAGAGTCGCAAGATAGGGATCCCATTTCGGATACATAGATGTATCATCAGAGAAAAATTATTCATTATTTTTCAAATTACATTTTGTGAAGTTTCTTTTTTGACTCAGTATATGTATCTTGCTGTCACGTGCACAGGAAAGAAGTGGCAATCTGTCGGTTTTGTTTAGTGTGCTGAAAGTTATACTGCCGAAATTATGGCTACAGTGTAATTTGTGTGAGGTATTTAATATATTGGAAAGTTATTCTTACATACAGATACAGATTTATCTTTCTTAGGTGCATCTCATTAGTTGTTGCTAACAAAATGTCTCACAAGTATCACAAAATGCAACTGGCAATTGCTGTATTAATTTCACACAGCTAAATCAAAGTAATGACCATTCTTGAATGTATGTCATCGTCTTGGTTCCATTCCTCAAAGATGGGTTGTCCCATCCTTTCCAAGTTCCTATGATATGTCAATGCATCAAACTGATATCTTACATGTATTTGATATGTTCAACTTACTTTTACTTCAAATTTAAACTCCTCACTGGTTATGACTGGACTGCGGGTGTTGGCACAGTCTGTGCTGAGACACGCCACGAGGCCACACTGCACCTATAATGGACAGAAAACACAGTTTTTGATAGTGTACAGGAATTGTTAGCAATTTATCTAAAATACTGAATAAAAACTAAATGGATCAGATCAACTGTATCTCTGGGATATAAAAACTGCATAAAAAGTTATACATACATAGATTTGTCAACTTATAACAGTAGTTTGCTTGTTTGCTGTTGAATGGTGCACTAAGCCCTATTTCAGCGATGTGGCAACAAAAATCGTGTCTGGACCAGAAAATCCAGTGATCATCATCATGAGCCTCCATCTACACAGTTATGATATGATGACGTGTGTCAACCAAGTTAGCACGCCTGACCACCAGTTCCAGATAGTTGCCAGATAGTTGACAAGCACAGGTTACTGACAACCAGTTGTAACTATGTTCATGAGTAACTTACGACAGTAATTGTTAAAGGAATAATGTTAGTTTGGGTTGTATACCAAGGTTGAGGTACTCTGGGAACCAAATATTTCAATAAAACAACAGTTAATTTGGGTTTGTATACCTTTTGAGGTACACTTGGAACAAAATATTTCAATAAAACAACAGTTAGTTTGGGTTGTATACCATTTGAGGTACACTGGGAACTAAATATTTTTCAATAAAACAACAGTTAGTTGGGAACTAAATATTTGTAAACTGGGGTGAGGTATACCTTTTGGGAACAAAATATTTTCAATAAAACAACAGTTAGTTTGGGTTGTATACCTTTTGAGGTACACTGGGAACAAAATATTTCAATAAAACAACAGTTAGTTTGGGTTGTATACCTTTGAGGTACACTGGGAACAAAATATTTTTTCAATAAAACAACAGTTAGTTTGGGTTGTATACCTGGGAACTAAATATTTCAATAAAACAACAGTTAGTTTGGGTTGTAAACTGCGGTGAGGTACACTGGGAACAAAATATTTCAATAAAACAACAGTTAGTTTGGGTTGTATACCTTTTGAGGTACACTGGGAACAAAATATTTCAATAAAACAACAGTTAGTTTGGGTTGTATACTAAATATTTTTGAGGTACACTGGGAACAAAATATTTCAATAAAACAACAGTTAGTTTGGGTTGTATACCTTTTGAGGTACACTGGGAACAAAATATTTCAATAAAACAACAGTTAGTTTGGGTTGTATACCTTTTGAGGTACACTGGGAACTAAATATTTCAATAAAACAACAGTTAGTTTGGGTTGTATACCTTTTGAGGTACACTGGGAACTAAATATTTCAATAAAACAACAGTTAGTTTGGGTTGTATACCTTTTGAGGTACACTGGGAACTAAATATTTCAATAAAACAACAGTTAGTTTGGGTTGTAAACTGGGGTGAGGTACACTGGGAACAAAATATTTCAATAAAACAACAGTTAGTTTGGTTTGTATACCTTTTGAGGTACACTGGGAACTAAATATTTCAATAAAACAACAGTTATTATGAATATATATGTCATCACTTGATTTGGTTCATAAGGGTCCAGTTGTTATTGTATAAGTTACCTGTACCTGATCGGTCTGTCCAGTACAGCGTGCTCCTCTCTGGGTCACACACCAGCTGTGTGCTGCTTCTGCTCACATCCCCTGGCTTGTAGCAGGATGTGCTGATAAAGCAGTAGTTGGGCTGCAAAACACGCTTTAGGATTTCATTATATCAGCTTATATGAAACAACTGCTGACTTCAGGTTTCACAGTCAAGATGGATTCAGCACGACCACATACATGTGAACAAATACTTACTAATTCATAATTAGCTAGCTGTTAAATATTTATAGGGTAGAAGAAGTCCCCACAGTATCACATTACAATGTACATTTGTTGGAATATATTTCTGTATTTGACATAGGAAGCATGTGGTAAAACTTACAAGTAGAGAAAACTGGTTGTCAGTGATGACGAAGCATCGAGAGTCATATACACGGAAAAAGACAGTGTCACTGTATGTGAGGTTGTTGTTGCTGACTGTGACATAGTAGCTGTTGACAGCCTCTGTGAGATTGCAAATGACCGTCTGATAAGACACAAACATGGCAGGTACATAGGAGTACTCGCCGGTGCCCTTCTGTGGCTCGGTGCTATTCAGCTGCAAGAAGTAAGCAAACAGTACTCACAAACAATACTTTAAAAACTGTAGCATCTTAGCGTCTTTCATAAACAGGTCCCTCAAGCATCAAAATACAATAAGAAACTTGACAACAACAATAACAGTTAGTTGAGTGAAATATAAATAAAAGATCACGTTATATGAATCCCATGAATTAACTAAACTGGCACTTCAAAATTATATATACTACAAACAAAAAGTATGGGAACACCCTAAAATTTGATAGTCATATATAAACTTAAACATGGTGAGGTAATTTATACTCTAAGGTAAATGCAACTTTTTGTGTGCTTAATGGGCACTTTAAACGACATGTTGGAACATGCAGTGAAGCAACTGATTCAACATTCGTTGAGTTTGAGTGAAATGAAACATTGTCATAAACAGCGAAAAACAAGGGTGCTGAAACACACCAACACCATGTTTGCTTCAAACGCCCAAACACAACAGAGCTGTTCCATCATTCACAGGACAACAGTCATACTGGCCTTTGACCTATACACCTCAATAACAGCTTGCTTCAAGGCAGACTAGTCTGATGAGGAGTTGTAGCATCCATACAAAAAGAATAAAAAATGTCCTTAATTGGCCAGTGCCATGCAATTATTGTCACTCTGCCAGCTCCAATCTTCCGGGACTGTAAGACCCTTGTAAATTCCATATTTCCTGCACCTCAGTGCTAATGAAGAGACTTATTGATTGACAAAAACAGTTCAAAGAAAGCTCTGTGACTGAATATGTACATGTACAAGTATGTGACACATCTACATCAGTTCTGTTGCTCACCCCAATTGTTTCCAATCTGCACACAATGTTTGCTGACCGCACAAAAGGTCCACCAACAACAGTTATTGAGTTACATAGAGACGTGTGACTGTCACAGTCAGCTTGTGGAGACAAAACACTTGGCACTGATGTCTCATTGACAGAACAGTCGAAACCAAAGAAGCCCTCGTTGCAGCTGCAGACACCTGAAATATGCACCATCTTTCTTATCCTGTCCTTATGCTGTTCCAACAAGTCATAGAATGCATATGTCTTACAACACCTGAAAATAATCAGCAGGTTACATGATATTATTTCTCAAAAATACATCTTCATGACAATCATATTGCAACCTTGACATAAGCTCCAACAGACCTATGTTACACAACCCATTGCTGCTACAGTTGTTGCTGCATGTCTGGTTAAGTATGTCTCCCGGTGGCTGGAATCTCCCCTCCAGCAGCACCCAGTGACTCGTCTCCCTCGTCACCACTGCTAGACATTGCTGGAGAAATCTGGTGAGGACTGGCCACACCCACTCCAGGCTGTCATGTATCTGGAAGAGCAACTCTCGCTTGTCATAGCAGGCCGTCATTCATTTGAAACGTTCATTATGGATGACTTTTATCATATGTAGTATCAAATGTTTATAACAGATACCTATTCACAAAGAATACAGTGTGAAACCAATAAAACACAATTAATTTATCAACTAAATTTATAAATCAATACAAATTACTGCTAATTAAGTGGCTGTCCGCAATAAAGTGGCAGTCTAAAATTCAGGTGCAGTACAATTACAATGCCAGTATAAAATAAGACAGGAATATTATGAGTCAGTGATAATAAAATGCATCAACATAATGATCATGATGATGATGAGTTGAAGAATTAATGTGCACTTTCTGCTATGATGCATATTTAGTACATGGTTTCATGTGGTCTGCATCTACTAAAATAAATCTTGGCTGAGAATGTAGTTGAACTACGACACTGTCTTACAATAACCACTGCCATATAACAATGTACCTGTATATGGTTTGGTTTGTTCTATTTATATATGACAAATGCTGAAAACCCAAACCAATTCATCCATTAGCATTTACCGAGGTTGCATAGATACAGTGATTGCAACCATCTTACACACAGATCATTGTTTCAACTCAACAACAATGGTTAATCTCAAGTTTCAGTGTGCAGATGTTAAGTTATTCCACGTAAAACAGTTTACTGCAACTCAGTACTACCGGTAATCATCTAACAGTGATGCATGTGACTCATGAGTATATCTGTTAATCCCTCTTCACTTGCAACGTACCTGTATACTTGTGGCACATGATGCTATCATTGACTTCTGTAGGCTAAGTGAGACGACCCCCTGGCACAGCACACCAATATGTGTAGTCCGGGTGTAGGCTTCACAGTACTGCCTAGCCTGGACTTGACTGTAGCGGAGAACGGCAGTGGGCCATGGCTGGATCTGCAAGGAAGATGTGTCTACTCTCACACTCCATAAGGCTATGTAATGGGGGCATATGGTTTAGAAGATACAGTTTTCATTTGTTTAGAAACAGTCTGTACTAAGGCAAATGAATAATACATGTTACATAATGTTGTGTTTCTTAAGAGAAAATATCTACACACATCAAGTCGAAAAATATGGTTCCATAGTCAATTCTCCTACTACCCTTGTACACTACAAATGCAAGGTTGCAATTGTTGTTAATACCACTTGAATTGCCACATTGACACTATCTTTAATATTCATATAAACCCCAAATATTGTGTGAGTAAATAAAAGCCACCAAACATTCTAATATAGGGACAAAAGCAGTGTTTTCTTCATAGGATAAGGGTACACTAGTCTGTCTGTGACACCCAACACAAACACAAGCCAAGGCAAGAAAACTGCCCACCTGAAAAACACTGGGTGAGTGAGTCAGTTTTATTTATTAGTTTTACGCCACACTCAGCAATATTCCGGCTATGTGGCGGTGATCTGTAAATAATCAAGTCTGGACCAGGCAATCCAGTGATCAACAGCATGAGCATCCATCTACACAAATGGGATAAATTATATGTGTCAATCAAGTCAGGGAGCCTGACCAACTGATCCCAGTTAGTCGCCTCTTATGACAAGCATGGGTTACTGAAGATCAATTCTAACCCGGATCTTCACGGGTCCCTGATAAACAATGGAACATGGTGAAGTCAAAATAGGGGTTTGCATCAGACATTATTTTGCTACTATTAAACATTTTTAATGCTTCACTTAGGTCTTGAAAGTTGTAATCCTGAAAAAACAACACTTGAGCAACAGTCATATAATGTTCTTTGAAAATAATATTTGCACTTAAAAACTTGTGGAATGTGGACACCAAAGTCTAGAGCTGCTGGAATTATTACTCCAAATACAGGGTAATTTGGTTATTGTAAAGCTGAAGTCATCCCTTGTGTCATACAGTGTTCTGAATAAATATTTTTCACTCAGTATTAAATGTATGGACAGATCTGAATATAAAATGGATTGGCTGTTCCACTGGTATCTGGTATTTCTATGTGGCTAACTTAGACGAAGGGAAATTGGATTCTTGAACATTATTTAATGGTTTACCAGAAACTTTAACTTCCTCACCAAATTCCCTTGTGTTGATAAATTCATATAAATACAGACACAGATCAGCCAGGAGAGAAGCACATGTAGTGCATGCTGTAATGTCTACTGCTTGGCTATATGTCTTATCCCCAAACTTTAAATAGATGTCATCAATGACAAAGTCCAGCATACATATTGTTTCTTCAGTAAACTTCAGATGACTGTTCATTTCCTTTTAGTAAAACTGACCTGAAACTTCTGACAGGAAAACAACTCTACAGCATGTCAGCATAATGTGGAAGAAAAGACCAAATTGATTTAGGTCTTAGAAAATGTGCTCACAAGTTGGTCTCATATTATCATTACTCTAAATCGTACAAAAATGTCACAAACCTCAAATTTGAAGTCTTCTTCATACACATAAATAATTTTCTGTGAGAGCTGTCCTGGACAACCAAGAGGACTTGATGACATCCTGATTAGGAAATCTGTTATATCCACACCTGTAATTGATGGTTATACATATTCAATTAGACTGCAAGACCAGAAATGACATGTGATCTTTCTTCTTCACCTGTCATAGCAGCCTCAGCTTCATGAGTCAGACATATGAGGGGACCTCACTTTCACTAGACAGACATATGAGGGGACCTCACTTTCACTAGACAGACATATGAGGGGACCTCACTTTCACTAGACAGACATATGAGGGGACCTCACTTTCACTAGACAGACATATGAGGGGACCTCACTTTCACTAGACAGACATATGAGGGGACCTCACTTTCACTAGACAGACATATGAGGGGACCTCACTTTCACTAGACAGACATATGAGGGCACCTCACTTTCACTAGACAGACATATGAGGAGACCTCACTTTCACTAGACAGACATATGAGGGGACCTCACTTTCACTAGACAGACATATGATGGGGCCTCACTTTCACTAGACAGACATATGAGGGGACCTCACTTTCACTAGACAGACATATGAGGAGACCTCACTTTCACTAGACAGACATATGAGGGCACCTCACTTTCACTAGACAGACATATCATGGGGCCTGACCTTGACTATGCAGACATATGATGGGGCCTGACCTTCACTATGCAGACATATGATGGGGTCTGACCTTCACTAGGCAGACATATGAGGGGGCCCAACCTTCACTAGGTAGACATATGAGGAGACCTCACTTTCACTAGGCAGACATATGAGGGGGCCTGACCTTCACTAGGCAGACATATGATGGGGCCTGACCTTCACTAGGCAGACATATAATGGGGTCTGACCTTCACTAGGCAGACATATAATGGGGCCTGACCTTCACTAGGCAGACATATGATGGGGGCCTGACCTTCACTAGGTAGACATATGAGGCGAACTCAGTTTCACTAGGCAGACATATGATGGGACCTCAGTTTCACTAGGCAGACATATGAGGAGGCCTGACCTTCACTATGCAGACATATGATGGGGTCTGACCTTCACTAGGCGGACATATAATGGGGCCTGACCTTCACTAGGCAGACATATGAGGGGGCCTGACCTTCACTAGGCAGACATATGAGGAGGCCTGACCTTCACTAGGCAGACATATGAGGAGGCCTGACCTTCACGAGGTAGACATATGATGGGGTCTGACCTTCATGAGGTAGACATGTGATGGGGTCTGACCTTCACGAGGTAGACATGTGATGGGGTCTGACCTTCACGAGGTAGACATGTGGGTAGTCTCACCTTCACTAGACAGACATGAGGTAGCCTCACCTTCACTTGAGAGATATGAGGGTAGCTTCACCTTCAATAGACAGTCATGAGGGTAATCTCACATTCACTAGACACACATGTGGGTAGCCTCACCTTCACTAGGTAGACATGTGAAGACATTGATGTTTTCACCACAGCCTACAGTTGAGCCTGCACATTTACACTGTACAGGGGTCGGCATGGTCTCAGTAGGATCTTCCAAACAAATACCAGACAGGAAATCTTCATTTTTCTTCACCCTGAAAAGGAATTATCAAATCAAACTAATTTGACAAACATCATCATGTTAACCAGTAAGAAGCATTCTGCATTGTTAATCTGTCTCTGTCCTCTGTCTGTCTTTTACGTGTCCATACTAAAGGGATATTCTCATAGTCTCTCTTAATTCAAAACCTTCTGAGGGTAGCCTTAGGGTACTGAGTGACTGATTCAAGACAAGATAAGAGAAACTGAGACATTTCTTCTTATATCTGTAGTCATCAATAAGGTGGCTTTCAGTTGTATGAAGCTATGTTTTATACACTGTTCTTTCCTATCAAGATGTCTATTGTCATGCTTTTACTTGGCACATTATGTTTTATACTGTAATGTAGCATAGGATTCTACCATTGTTTTGTTGTCATTCTGTTTATTATCACTTTACAGTCATCATACACCACAACTTTTCTTTCAAAAGCTCATCTTTATGAGCAAAATATTCTCACGATAAGTATTCAGTGAATAAAGGAATTCATTTTCAGAAAAAAAAACACTTGTGTGTGTGATAATATTATTATTGTTGCTAGACTTCCAATCACTACTCAAGAAGTGTGGAATGAAGATGACCACAACCTCCAGCCAAGGGAGAAGTCCTCCCCTCCTTCACGGTCATTGGTCGAGTTGCCATCATAGGAGCCACAGAGTCCTTCTGTTGACTGGTAGTCCATTGCAGAAGGTTGAACCCACACATTAAGGCATTCAGAGCTTCCGACATCGGTAACAATCACGTATGTCCCACTCGGGAAATGAACCTGTGTTGATGGAGGGTAAAATGATATCAGTTCACACAACTGGGTACTTTTGAAAAAATATATGAACATACATTTACACTTATTATCTCTCGGTGCAGGTGGCGCTAAGCTTGTACACCCACTCTGACAAGTTCTGATACTACACACATGATGGGCACTGTACATTCAGCGTAGCTACCTTGTAAGCCAACAGAAAGTGAGAATCCTGAAGAAATTATGTATGGTAATGTTAGTTCAATATTTATCAGACATTGTGATGTACACTGTTTGATGTATAACAACAAGCACCAAACTTGTTTTTGGTTTATTTATGAACCCATAATTCTTGAAATTATTATTTCAAACTGACTGATCATAACTGAGCAAGAAGTTTTCCTCGGTGATTATTTGTTTCTGCCATGATGTTGATTTGATCAGCTGTTCAGAGGTTAGAGAGGAGTATGTGACTAATCAATAAATAATGGTTGCATTCCATATTCATGGTAGAATTCATAATAACCTTGTGTATTACTAGCCTGTGATTCATCAAGAGATCACACAACAAGACAGGTACCACTTCTATAAAGAAAACTTAGTCACTGGATCAACTGAAATGTCAACTACCTGTCGTGTACGTCCTTCATCAAACTGAAGAACCCTGGTGTTGGGGGTGAGATCTCCATTGAGGAAAATGGTGGTCCTTGTTGTCACTTGTTGGTCATCTCTTTTACATCTGTCAATCAATGCCACATCATCTCCAGATTTCACTGCTACTGCACAGGGACAAGGGGGAGACTTTGTGGCATTGTCATGTCTCATAAATACCTCCACCTGTATCACACAAAGATAACATCTCACTGATATAGTAATGTAATGGTTTAGTCCGCAACTAAACATTGTCTATTTGTTTGACTTTAGCACAGTCCAAAGTTGATGGATAATGCTAATTATAATTTGTTGGTACAAGATAATCACCCTCCATGCCTTGAACACACATACTTTCAGGTACTTTTTAGTTAAAACACTATGTCACTTTGGAGCATAAGATTGCAACTGAGTACCCAATCCACAAACTAGCTTACTTCATATGGCTTTGTCCGATGGCGGTACATGTTGAACACCCCTTCTGTGTAAATGTCATAGGCTCTGGAATATAGACAGAATGTTTTCACATGACCACTCCTTTTCAGCTGGATGTACTACATACATTTCTTAAGACTAGAAATATGTGACTGCTAGATGAAGATGAACAACATCTTTACTTAATGTTTTCATTCCTCAAAAGAAATCAAATCATACATCCACATCATACCTTCTGCCACACCCAAATGTACATTCTGCACTTTAAGCAACATTTGATCACATACAAAAGGCTAAAAATATTTGTTACATTTTCATAATGTGGTTTATCAAAAGTCATAATCTGGTTTTTCAAAAGTGAAATTGAACCACAATCTGGCTTATGTTCCATAAAATTTAAGCTACTGTCAAATAGTTTAAACTAATAAACTCCCTTGATACTTACTCCACTGACAGCAGGTCCACTAACAGAACCACAACTGACAACAGATCCACAAACAGAACCCCTACTAACAGTAACTCCACTAACAGAACCCCTACCAATAACAGCTCCACTTACAGAACACCTACCAGTAACAGCTCCACTAACAGAACCCCTACCAATAACAGCTCCACTAACAGAACCCCTACCAATAACAGCTCCACTTACAGAACCCCTAACAGCTCCACTAACAGCTCCACTAACAGAACCCCTACTGAAGCAGCTCCACTAACAGAAGCCCTACTGACAACAGCTCCACTAACAGAACCCCTACTGAAGCAGCTCCACTAACAGAAGCCCTACTGACAACAGCTCCACTAACAGAAGCCCTACTGACAGCAGCTCCACTAAAGAAGAGCAGCCCTAACAGAAGCCCTGCTCCACTAACAGAGCCCACTGACAACAGCTCCACTAACAGAAGCCCTACTGACAACAGCTCCACTAACAGAACCCCTACTGAAGCAGCTCCACTAACAGAAGCCCTACTGACAACAGCTTTACTAAAAGAAGCCCTACTGAAACAGCTCCACTAACAGAACCCCAACAGAAGCAGCTCCACTAACAGAAGCCCTACTGACAACAGCTCCACTAACAGAACCCCTACTGAAGCAGGTCCACTAACAGAACCCCTACCAATAACAGCTCCACTTACAGAACCCCTACCAGTAACAGCTCCACTAACAGAACCCCTACTGAAGCAGCCCCACTAAAAGAATCCCTACTGACAACAGCTCCACTAACAGAACCCCTACTGAAGCAGCTCCACTAACAGAAGCCCTACTGACAACAGCTCCACTAACAGAACCCCTACTGAAGCAGCTCCACTAACAGAACCCCAACAGAAGCAGGTCCACTAACAGAACCCCTACCAATAACAGCTCCACTTACAGAACCCCTACCAGTAACAGCTCCACTAACAGAACCCCTACTGAAGCAGCCCCACTAAAAGAATCCCTACTGACAACAGCTCCACTAACAGAACCCCTACTGAAGCAGCTCCACTAACAGAAGCCCTACTGACAACAGCTCCACTAACAGAACCCCTACTGAAGCAGCTCCACTAACAGAACCCCAACAGAAGCAGCTCCACTCACAGAGCCCCTACTGAAACAGCTCCACTAACAGAAGTCCTACTGAAGCAGCTCCACTAACAGAATCCCTACTTACAACAGGTCCACTAACAGAAGTCCTACTGAAGCAGCTCCACTAACAGAACCCCTAGTGAAGCAGCTCCACTAACAGAACCCCTACTGAAGCAGCTCCACTAACAGAAGCCCTGTTGAAAGTAGCTCCACTAACAGAACCCCTGTTAAAAGTTACTCCACAAACAGAATCCCTGTTGAAAGTAACTTCACTAACAAATCCCCTGCTGCCAGAACCCCTACTAGTAACAGCTCCACTAACGAAACCCCTACTGTCAACAGCCCCACTAACAGAACCCCTACTTAAAGTAGCTCCACTAAGACAACCTAATACTGACAGTTGGTCCACTGTGCATAGTTCACTGACAGATTGAAAGGAAGAAACTATATTGATTGCAGTCTTACTGACAGTAGCATTAAAGTCTAATGTACTCAGGTAGGCTATTCCACCCATACTTACTGTCCATCAAATGTGATGACATGTGGTGCGGCTTGACACAGTGAAGAAGAATCCCGGTCATGCACTGTCACCTGAAACATCATCATAAAACTCAACAATATCATATGGGCTTCTAACCTCATACAGAAGGAATTGTCAATAATTAATTACATCTGTAAACACCCATTCACAATATATGGGTGTTGGAAATGAAAGTTACTCACCTTACCACTTGTGGCATTTCCACTGAACACAGTCCGACTGCCTGACATCACCATGGCTGATATCATCACCTCTCTGATCTGCTTGCCATCAACTAACTGATCATTCACTGCTATCAGTGGTACATACAGAGTCTCTGGCCATGATGGATAGTCTATTGAACAGTCAGCGTCACCCAGTGACTTGGATGTAGGCACATACACTGCCTGGTAGTAAGTCTCTGTTGTGGAAGAGCATTCGAATTCTTCATGTGTGGTAAGAGAAATACCAACTTTGACAGAGCAAGTCTGGTTGTCCAATTTACAGAAATATCGAGTTGGGACGGTTGCCTTGATGCCCACCATAACAGCTTCTCCGCCCTCATCAAGTGTGATGTCTTCTGTAATGATCTGACATAAGCACACCACAGTGAGATCATCAGACAATGGAGTCTTACACAAGGTGGGCAGGGAGGGCTCTGTATGGGACACAATGACAGGATCAAACAATGGATTCTTACACAAGGTGAGCAGGGAGGGCTCTGTATGTGACACAATGACAGGATCAAACAATGTTGTCTTACACAAGGTGGGCAGGGAGTGTTTAGTATGGGACACAATGACAGGATCAAACAATGGAGTCATATACAAGGTGGGCAGGGAGGGCTATGTATGGGCCACAATGACAGGATCAAACAATGGAGTCTTACACAAGGTGGGCAGGGAGGGCTATGTATGGGACACAATAACAGGATCAAACAATGGAGTCATATTCAAGGTGGGCAGGGAGGGCTATGTATGGGACACAATGACAGGATCAAACAATGTAGTCTTACACAAGGTGGGCAGGGAGGGCTCTGTATGGGACACAATGACAGGATCAAACAATGGAGTCATATTCAAGGTGGGCAGGGAGGGCTATGTATGGGACACAATGACAGGATCAAACAATGTAGTCTTACACAAGGTGGGCAGGGAGGGCTCTGTATGGGACACAATGACAGGATCAAACAATGGAGTCATATTCAAGGTGGGCAGGGAGGGCTATGTATGGGACACAATGACAGGATCAAACAATGTAGTCTTACACAAGGTGGGCAGGGAGGGCTCTGTATGGGACACAATGACAGGATCAAACAATGGAGTCATATTCAAGGTGGGCAGGGAGGGCTATGTATGGGACACAATGACAGGATCAAACAATGTAGTCTTACACAAGGTGGGCAGGGAGGGCTCTGTATGGGACACAATGACAGGATCAAACAATGGAGTCATATTCAAGGTGGGCAGGGAGGGCTATGTATGGGACACAATGACAGGATCAAACAATGTAGTCTTACACAAGGTGGGCACGGAGGGCTCTGTATGGGACACAATGACACGATCAAACAATGGAGTCTTACACAAGGTGGGCAGGGAGGGCTATGTATAGGCCACAATGACAGGATCAAACAATGTAGTCTTACACAAGGTGGGCAGGGAGGGCTAAGTATGGGACACAATAACAGGATCAAACAATGTAGTCTTACACAAGGTGGGCAGGGCGGGATCTGTATGGGCCACAATGACAGGATCAAACAATGGAGTCTTACAAAAGGTGGGCAGGGCAGGATCTGTATGGGACACAATGACAGGATCAAACAATGTAGTCTTACACAAGGTGGGCAGGGAGTGTTTAGTATGGAGACACAATGACAGGATCAAACAATGGAGTCATATTCAAGGTGGGCAGGGAGGGCTCTGGACGGGACACAATGACAGGATCAAACAATGGAATCATATACAAGGTGGGCAGGGAGGGCTATGTATGGGCCACAATGACAGGATCAAACAATGGAATCTTACACAAGGTGGGCAGGGAGTGTTTAGTATAGGACACAATGACAGGATCAAACAATGGAGTCTTACACAAGGTGGGCAGGGAGGGCTATGTATGGGACACAGTAACAGGATCAAACAATGGAGTCATATTCAAGGTGGGCAGGGAGGGCTATGTATGGGACACAATGACAGGATCAAACAATGTAGTCTTACACAAGGTGGGCAGGGAGGGCTCTGTATGGGACACAATGACAGGATCAAACAATGGAGTCTTACACAAGGTGGGCAGGGAGGGCTCTGTATGGGACACAATGACAGGATCAAACAATGGAGTCTTACACAAGGTGGGCAGGGAGGGCTATGTATGGGACACAATGACAGGATCAAACAATGGAGTCTTACACAAGGTGGGCAGGGAGTGTTTAGTATTGGACACAATGACAGGATCAAACAATGGAATCATACACAAGGTGGGCAGGGAGGGCTCTGGATGGGACACAATGACAGGATCAAACAATGGAGTCATATTCAAGGTGGGCAGGGAGGGCTATGTATGGGACACAATGACATGGATCAAGGTGGGCAATGTGTAGTCTTACACAAGGTGGGCAGGGAGGGCTCTGTATGGGACACAATGACAGGATCAAACAATGGAGTCATACACAAGGTGGGCAGGGAGGGCTATGTATGGGACACAATGACAGGATCAAACAATGTAGTCTTACACAAGGTGGGCAGGGAGGGCTCTGTATGGGACACAATGACAGGATCAAACAATGGATGTATCAATACACAAGGTGGGCAGGGAGGGACTCAAACAATGGAGTATGCTGCTGTGTGGGACACAATGACAGGATCAAACAATGTAGTCTTACACAAGGTGGGCAGGGCGGGATCTGTATGGGCCACAATGACAGGATCAAACAATGGAGTCTTACAAAAGGTGGGCAGGGCGGGATCTGTATGGGACACAATGACAGGATCAAACAACGGAGTCTTACACAAGGTGGGCAGGGAGGGCTCTGTATGGGCCACAATGATAGGATCAAACAATGGAGTCTTACACAAGGTGGGCAGGGAGTGTTTAGTATGGGACACAATGACAGGATCAAACATTGGAGTTTACACAAGGTGGGCACGGAGTGTTCTGTATGGGCAACAATGACAGGATCAAACAATGGAGTCTTACACAAGGTGGGCAGGGAGTGTCTAGTATGGGACACAATGACAGGATCAAACAATGGCGTCTTACACAAGGTGGGCAGGGAGTGTTTAGTATGGGACACAATGACAGGATCAAACAATGGAGTCTCACACAAGGTGGGCAGGGAGGACTCTGTATGGGACAGAACAACAGGATCAAACAATGGAGTCTTACAAAAGGTGGGCAGGGAGTGTTTAGAATGGGCCACAATGACAGGATCAAACAATGGAGTCTTACACAAGGTGGGCAGGGAGGACTCAGTATGGGACACAATAACAGGATCAAACAATGGAGTCTTACACAAGGTGGGCAGGGAGTGTTTAGTATGGGACACAATGACAGGATCAAACAATGGAGTCTTACACAAGGTGGGCAGGGAGTGTTTAGTATGGGACACAATGACAGGATCAAACAATGGAGTCTTACACAAGGTGGGCAGGGAGGGCGATGTATGGGACACAATAACAGGATCAAACAATGGAGTCATATTGAAGGTGGGCAGGGAGGGCTATGTATGGGACACAATGACAGGATAAAACAATGTAGTCTTACACAAGGTGGGCAGGGAGTGTTTAGTATGGGCCACAATGACAGGATCAAACAATGGAGTCTTACACAAGGTGGGCAGGGAGGACTATGTACAGGACACAATGACAGGATCAAACAATGTAGTCTTACACAAGGTGGGCAGGGAGTGTTTAGTTTGGGACACAATGACAGGATCAAACAATGGAGTCTTACACAAGGTGGGCAGAGAGTGTTTAGTATGGGACACAATGACAGGATCAAACAATGTAGTCTTACACAAGGTGGGCAGGGAGGGCTCTGTATAGGACACAATGACAGGATCAAACAATGGAGTCTTACACAAGGTGGGCAGGGAGTGTTTAGTTTGGGACACAATGACAGGATCAAACAATGGAGTCTTACACAAGGTGGGCAGAGAGTGTTTAGTATGGGACACAATGACAGGATCAAACAATGTACTCTTACACAAGGTGGGTAGGGAGGGCTCTGTATGGGCCACAATGACAGGATCAAACAATGGAGTCTTACACAAGGTGGGCAGGGAGTGTTTAGTATGGGACACAATGACAGGATCAAACATTGGAGTTTACACAAGGTGGGCACGGAGTGTTCTGTATGGGCAACAATGACAGGATCAAACAATGGAGTCTTACACAAGGTGGGCAGGGAGTGTTTAGTATGGGACACAATGACAGGATCAAACAATGTAGTCTTACACAAGGTGGGCAGGGAGTGTTTAGTATGGGACACAATGACAGGATCAAACAATGGAGTCTCACACAAGGTGGGCAGGGAGGGACTCTGTATGGGACAGAACAATGACAGGATCAAACAATGGAGTCTTACACAAGGTGGGCAGGGAGTGTTTAGAATGGGACACAATGACAGGATCAAACAATGGAGTCTTACACAAGGTGGGCAGGGAGGACTCTGTATGGGACACAATAACAGGATCAAACAATGGCGTCTTACACAAGGTGGGCAGGGAGTGTTTAGTATGGGACACAATGACAGGATCAAACAATGGAGTCTTACACAAGGTGGGCAGGGAGGGCTATGTATGGGACACAATGACAGGATCAAACAATGGAGTCATATTGAAGGTGGGCAGGGAGGGCTATGTATGGGACACAATGACAGGATAAAACAATGTAGTCTTACACAAGGTGGGCAGGGAGTGTTTAGTATGGGCCACAATGACAGGATCAAACAATGGAGTCTTACACAAGGTGGGCAGGGAGGACTGTATGGGACACAATGACAGGATCAAACAATGTAGTCTTACACAAGGTGGGCAGGGAGGGCTATGTATGGGACACAATGACAGGATCAAACAATGGAGTCTTACACAAGGTGGGCAGGGAGGGCTAAGGATGGGACACAATAACAGGATCAAACAATTGGAGTCTTACACAAGGTGGGCAGGGAGTGTTTAGTATGGGCCACAATGACAAGATCAAACAATGGAGTCTTACACAAGGTGGGCAGGGAGGACTCTGTATGGGCCACAATGACAGGATCAAACAATGGAGTGTCACACAAGGTGGGCAGGGAGTGTTTAGTATGGGCCACAATGACAGGATCAAACAATGGAGTCTTACACAAGGTGGGCAGGGAGGACTCTGTATGGGACACAATAACAGGATCAAACAATGGAGTCTTACACAAGGTGGGCAGGGAGTGTTTAGTATGGGCCACAATGACAGGATCAAACAATGGAGTCTTACACAAGGTGGGCAGGGAGGACTCTGTATGGGACACAATAACAGGATCAAACAATGGAGTCTTACACAAGGTGGGCAGGGAGTGTTTAGTATGGGGCACAATGACAGGATCAAACAATGGAGTCATATACAAG